CTGGAAAATTTCAGAATTGCTCAAAAGTCAGTCATGCAGGCGTGCTGGAGTTCACATCCTTCCAACAGGACGAGGACCTGCTGGCTTGTGGCCTTGGTGCTCACGGCTGCCTGCCGTGAGAACAGCCTCCCCACAGGCAGGTGGGGCAGGCTTCCTTTTGCCTGTCTGGTCTCTCCTGAAATGTCAGCCCTGCCGTCCAGTTCACCTGCCCAGCCCCAGCCCTAGCCCCAGCCCTCCCCAGCCCTTCACCAGGCTCATTTTCTTGATGGCAGTGGTCCCAACCTTCTGCGAATTGGGGACAGGTTTCATGGAATTTTTCCCCAGGGGTGGGGGGTCTGGTTTCAGGATGATTCAAGCGCATTACATTTATTGTGCACTTTACTTCTATTATTATTATTATATTTAATATAGAATGAAATAATTATACAACTCACCCCAATGCAAAACCAGTGGGAGCCCTGAGCCTGTTTTCCTGCAATGAGACGGTTCCATCTGTGGGTGATGGGAGACAGCGCTAGCAGCTCCACCTCAAAGCATTAGGGATTAGATTCTCATAAGGAGTGGAGCGTGCAGCCTAGATCTCTCGTGTGTGCAGTTCACAATAGGGTTCACGATCCTATGAGAATCTAAGGCCACCGCTGATGTGACAGAAGACGGAGCTCAGGTGGTGATGCAAGTGAGGGGGAGCAGGTGTAAACAGATGAAACTTCTCTTGCTCCCCTGCTGCTCACCTCCTGCTGTGCAGCCCTTTTCCTAGCAGGCCACAGATGGATGACCTGGGTGCTAGGGATCCCTGCTTTCCGGCACATATCATGACCTGGATCCATCTATAAGATCTTGTCTGCCTGCTCACCAGGACACTCCATGGGGGAGGGACGTCACAGGCTTGTCAATTCCTCATCCCCAGTTCCCAGGACAGCAACGCTCTGATCACACCAAGCACTCACTCTTCACAGAACGATATACCAACGTGCCCATGAAGGGGGACCAACTTATGGTGAATAAACAGGTTTGCAGTGTGGTCCATGAAACACAACGAAATCAAGAGGCAAACACGACAACTTTATGATAATAAATAAATTCCATTTATTTCCTCTCACATAGTCCAAGAAAGCCAGACAACAGTGTGAGCCAGAAGAGCATTTCTGAGTTTAGAAATCGATCTTTGCCATCATGGATGGCTGATTAGGAAGTCAGAGGCTGACATTCAACGAATATGTTATGAAGTGTCATTGTACAGTGTTAAGAGGTGTTTCACAGAAAGAAGGCACCGCTGGGAACACGGTAAGTACAGATGAAGTGTTTCTCGAACATATCTGACAATACCACTGTACCCCATCCCCCTTCCTTGGAACTCCCACGGGGGTAGGGTTCCACAAAAAACACTTTGAGAAAGACAGCAGCAGACCAAATGTTTACATCACCTTGATCACAAAGGGCCTTTAAATGTTCTGCAGCATTCTACCAACAATTAAACATTCATTTCTCTAGAAAAAAGGTGATAGTTACTCTCTAAAAACTGAGCAAAGGAGAATAAAGCCCTCTGATGAGCAGAGGGAGGTAAGGTTAACTAAGTGGACTCATTCAGTGCTATCACAGCTGTGACATCTGGTAGACTTGAGAGTGACGGGAGAGGCCCATCCCATCAGAGGTGTGTCTCCCCACTGTCGCCCATCTGAGACAGTGCTACGGTGAGCAATTGTTGTTAAAAGGAACACATCACATCTCTTAAGTGTATTGAGACGCTTTTTAAAAATTGAGACCCCTTGCATTAGAAGATGTCTTTCCTGTGAAGTCTTCAAGTGACCCCATCAACCTTTCTAACCTGAGATGACTTGGGTAAAACTATACCCACCTCGGATATCCAGTGTCTACTACTTATACTTAATGATGATTAACATACTTGATCCCACCCTCCCTTCATGTTAGAAGCCTCCAAATCAGTGTGTTTTGAACCACTATAAAATTTTAACTGATAATACTGTCCCCAAAAGTATACAATGAGGCTAAACTTGATCAAACTTATAAAAATATCATGAAAGACTTGATCTTATTTTATTGATGTAACTTTTCATTTTCATCATGAAACATACTGAAAAAGCAACAAAAGCAAAGATTAAAAGTTTTTCAAATGAATCACCATGATCTTTCAACTCTTTTATGAGCTAAACAGAAAACATCATTTTATTATTTATGAACAAGAGAATTTAAAGCAACTTATGTCTTTGACATTGCCAGAAAAGGGTGTTTACACTTTATACCCTTTTTCACCAAGAAATTAGAGTTATACCAAGATAAAACAGAGCCCACAGACCCCACTGGTATGAAATTCCACTAACAACGTCAGCTTGTCGCCAAAACAACAAATTCTGCTCCACAGCTTGCAATTAATGTACCGAATATGTACCAGCCCATATAACTTTATCAGTCTGCGTCCCCAGAGGAAGTAAACAGATAATAAAATGAATGAAATCATATTTCTTGACCACTCTCATCCGAAATAAGCTGTTAGTTGTCCTCAGAGAATTAGACAACGAGCTATGTACAAGGCCACTCGAGTGCATGAATCAGTTCATGGCAGAGGCAGGATTCTGAGGCATGAGGGTAAGTCCTGAGTCAGCAATGAAGACCCTGCCTTGGGGCAGAGATCCCCAGGGTCATTGCCAAGGGTAGATCGGTGTGTGACGGGCCTCTGGAAAAGTCGTTTTGTATCAGCATTTTTGTACTCCCTAAAAACACCATGAAATATTGAACTCTAATTAGTGATGCAACACACGCAAAAATGCTCAGTGGTTTAGAACTGTTCTGAATAGCCAGGCATCATGGCTCACGTCTGTTATCCCAGCACTTTAGGAGGCCGAGGCAAAAGGGTTGCCTGAGCCCAGGGGTTTAAGACCAGCCTGGGCAACTTGGTGAGACCTCGTCTCTCCAATAAATTATGCCTGTGGTGCTAGCTACTTGGGAGACTGAGACAGGAAGATTGCCTGAGCCCAGCAGGTTGAGGCTGAGGGAGCTGTGAGTGTGCCACTGCACTCCAGCATGGGCAACAGAGCAAGACAAAAAAAAAGGAAAGAAAGAAAGAAAAAGAAAAAACTGTTCCGAGTGGAAAACTCTGGGACAGACAGTGGGGAATGCACCCTTAGGTGGCAAGTTGCCAGAACCTAGATCAAGCAAAACAAAGCGGCCAGGCCTAGCGCCTTCTGGAGTGTGTGCCACCTGCTCTTTTTCATGCGTGGCTCTTGCCCTCCTCATGGGGACAATCCGGGGGGCTTTCTCAGTGTAGCTCTCCCCTACGAAGCCCACACACAACCCAGTGACGTGGAACCCCGGGTCTGCCCCGGGAATCTGCATCTGTCCCAAGTCTGCCAGGTGTTCCTGGCTCACAGCAAAGCTTAAGAACGCTGAATTTGAGCATCTCATTGGCAAAGGCTGCTGACCGGTGCACACGAATACTACATTTTGTAGCATATTTGAAATGCTGAAGCAATATCGAATATGTGATATTCCCCCAATACAGCAACTTCCATAGGTGTAAAGGTAACAGAGGGTGGGCGCGGTAGCTCAAGCCTGTAACTCCAGCACTTTGGGAGGCCGAGGTGGGGGGATTGCTTGGATCCAGGATTTTGAGATCAGTCTGGGCAACGTAGCGAGACCCCGAGACCTCATCACTACAAAAAAAAAGCAACAGATACGCACAACCAACTGGGACGAACCCTGCCAGCTCCCATAGTGTACACATTTTACCTGCACTGCAGAATACTTTGCAGATCAAACTGGCAACAAGAAAACAGCATAACAGAATACACAACACCTGGTCACAGGCTGGGGGCTTCCAAGAGGAAAACTGACCAGTCCCAAGTCCATAATATAGGAGACCACATGCTCTGAGGGTAGAATGGACTTGTGGGAGATGACAGCACTCCTGCCCATCCCTTCACCAGGCAGGCAAGGAGGAAGACTCTCCCAATCCAGTCTCCTCAACCTGCGATGTCATCCCAGCACCCTCCATCCCATCTCCCTCCTGCCCAGGCCCTCCCAGAGACCTCTCCTGCTCAGTCCCTCAGGGAGTTGACAGGCGCCACACAGCTCTTGGAAGAAGCTCTGCTCTGTGAAATTCATCAGATGAAGAGCCATTTTTTTCCCCTTGAGTCGGGTCTCCCTCTGTCGCCCAGGCTGGAGTGCAGTGGCACGCTCATTGCTACCGCAGCCTTGACCTCCTGGGCTCAGGCGATCCTTCTGCCTCAGCCTTGCAAGTAGCTGGGACTACAGGCATGTGCCACCATGCCTGGCTTATTTTATTTTTAATTTTTGTAGAGACGAGATCTTGTTGTGGTGCCCAGGCTGTAAGATCCATTTTTAAGGAATAATACCATGCTACAAGGGCCATATGCTTACTCCAACTGTTTAAATAGAATTTAAAGTCCTGTTTTATTTTCTTTTCTTTTTGAGTCAGGGTCTCACTCTGTCACCCAGACTGGAGTGCAGTGGCACACTCATGGCCACCGCAGTCTTGACTTTCTGGGCTCAGGCGATCCTCCCACCTCAGCCTCCCAAGTAGCTAGAACTACAGGAGGAGTGTGACACCACGTCTGGCTAATGTTTTGATTTATTGTAGAAATGAGTTGCCTAGGCTGGTTTTGAACCTCTGGGCTCAGGCAGTCCTCTCGCCTTGGCCTCCCAAAGTGCTAGGATGACAGGCGTGAGCCATGGCACCCAGCAAAGCCCTGCTTTAAGTGGGTTTAAAACTGGATAGAAGATCAGGGATTTGCCTTAGCAAGGACTTGCTTGAACCCATGCTCTCCTTTAAAAACAACACACACCGGATTGGGGTACCTTTAGAGAAATGCCCCAGTTAAACATCTTTTCGACATGAACTCATTCAAAAACACCAAGACACCAGTCATCCTGAACATCTTGGGCCATGGGGTGCTGGTACAAGGTCACTGGCTTAAGAGTTGCAGCCTAAGGTTGACACCCAGCACAAGCCACTCAGGGTTGAGTCATGTCTCCTTTTTATGTGGTTCCGGGTCAGGGACCCGATACAGAGCAGCTGAGAAATAGCCGATGTTGCCGAGGCTGAAGACGGCGCACAGGAGCAAGGCCCCAGCCATCTGGGGCAAGGAGGGGGGCCTGGAGCTGGCCAGGAGCCAGCCCCTTCTCAGCGTCTTGTCCAGAAGGATGGCTTCCATCTGCAGGTGTGTGGCCAGGATCACACACACATGGAACAGCTGGTGGCTGTGACCTGCAGCAGACACACAGAGGCCGTCAAGACCCTGTCCCCACGAAAAGGGAGGATGCACTGAGGCCTGCCTCGGTAGGTGTGCTCAACAGGTGATTGTGATAAAGAGGCCAGACAGGAGGCCACACAGGGCATGACTCCACATCTATGAAATGTCCAGAAGAGGCTGATCCATACAGACAGAGAGCAGGGGTGGGGGCAGGATTAACAGCACATGAGAATGAAGGGTCCTAGCCGGTGATAAAAATGTTCTAGGCTGGGTGCAGTGGCTCACACCTGTCATCCCAGCACTTTGGGAGGCTGAGGCAGGAGGATCGCTGGAACCCAGGATTTGGAGTCCAGCCTAGGCAACATAGTGAGACCTCGTCTCTACAACAAATTAAAAAATTAGCTAGGTTTTGAAAACGATCATCTACAAGCCCAGGAGGGGGCTTAGAAGGAACCCACCCTGCCAACAGCTTGACCTCAAGTTCTAGCCTCCAGCTCTGTAAGAAGAAACACTTCTGTTGTATAGGCTGCATGGTCCAGGGTGGTTTGTTATGGCGACCTCACAAACTCATAAAACATGAGGGTTAAATGAGGATTCACCGTTGGTTAAAAAAAAGAGCAAGTTCAGTGGTGCTCGTCCAGGACCTGTCCCAGAAGCAGCCATTCGTCCATGTGACATGGGAAGGAGCCAGCCTGATCGCCCACTGCTGAGTGGGAGAGAGTCAGGAACGAGAGTGGGAGGCTGAAGATTCTCATGTGGGGGTCAGCAAGGTCCCCAGGGGGGACTACCAGCACCCCATGTCCGTCCCCAGGAAGAAGGTGTACCTGGAGCTGCCACCCTGTTTGCTCAAGCCTTGCGGATAGGCTGTGAGGGATTTCCAAACCTGTCCAAAATGCAGCAAGGCAGTTTCAATGCCCACAGAGAGCTGTGTTCTCCAGGGACACATGGCCGGGCAAAGCTTGGCTCTAGACAACCATCCTTCTTTCTGTCTTCATGAGAGCTTTGCCTCTGTCTACATGTATGTCTGTGGGCTAATCTCCTTTTCTTAGGGCACCAGTCATAATAGATTAAGGCCCACCCCGGTGACCTCATCTTTACCTAATTATCTCTCTCAAGACCCTATCTTGGGCTGGGCACAGTGGCTCCTGCCTGTCATCCCAGCACTTTGGGAGGCCGAGGCAAGAGGATTGTTTGAGCCCAGGAGTTCAAGACCAACCTGAGCAACATAATGAGACCTTATCTCTACAAAGCAATCAAAAAGTTAGCCAGGTGTGGTGGCACATGCCTGTAGTCCCAGCTACTTGGGAAGCCGAGGTGGAAGGATCACCTGAGTCCAAGGTTGAGGCTACAGTCAGCTGAGCTCCTGTCACTGTACTCCAGCCTGGGTGACAGAGTGAGCCTGACTCAAAAATTGAAAATAAGAAATAAAAAAGATCGTATCTCCAAGGCCGGGCATGGTGACACATGCCTGTAGTTCCAACACTTTGGGAGACCAAGGAAGGAAGATCGCTTGAGTCTCAGAATTCAAGTCTGCAGAGAGCTATGATTGTGCCAATGCACTCTAGCCTGGGTGACACAGCAAGATCATGTCTCCAAAAAAAACCCTCTAAATAAGGCCACATTATGGGAATCAGGATGTCCACATGTGAGATTTTCAGGGACAAGTTTAGCCTGTAATGCGTGTGGCCTTTTCATGTCACTGCTGGTGTCTGAGGGTCGTGCCCCAGACTAGTCACCTTCACCAGCTAAGGCACAAACCTGTCTCCGGTTTGGGTGTGAGATCACACTGAGCCCTCTGCATGGGTGGATCTGGAATGCGGCTGCGGTGGAAAGGGTGTTTTTTTATTTTTTTATTTTTTTGAGTCAGAGTCTCACTGTGTTGCCCATGAACGATAAAAGAAGAAAAGAGATGGAACTGTCTTTGACCAACAGAGCACATGGGCACACTCACAGCTTCGACCTGCTGGGCTCAGGCGATCCTTCTGCCTCAGCCTTCCAAGTAGCTGGAACCACAGGCGTGCACCACCATGCCTGGCTAATTTTTTGGTTTATTGTAGAGAAGAGGTCTCACCAAGTTGCCCAGGTTGGTCTCGCATCCCTAGGCTCAGGCAATCCTCTCACCTCTGCTTCCCAAAGGGCTGGATGACAGGCGTGAGTTACCACGTCTGGTGGGAAGGGTGATTTAGACACCCTGCAGAACAGGAGCAGGGAGGTGCTTCCTCCCAGGCCAACCAAGCCAGGCCGAACCCCCAGGACAGCTGGGGGAATTCCAGTTATCTAAGACTGAGAACTTCCAAGTGTCTTATGTCTGGCAAATCTCACCCTTCCCAATGGTGTTTTCCAGCTCAGCAACCTAGCCGCGGGAGAACGGGATGGAGGTGAATAAATATCGCGCTGTTAAGAAGTCACAGTGGCGGCAAACAAGGACAAGGGTCCCTTTCCTGCAACTGCAAGACTTTCCACACCCCCCCCAACTCCTCCAAGGTGGGGCTGCAGAGGAGCCTGGCAGGCTAGGTGCTGGTGCACTGATTGTCTGGTCTGGTGTCCTCCTCCTGTCTAGAAAGACGCCCTCTAAGCATTTTGCAGGTTGCAACCCGTTCAGGTGCGACAAAAGAAGAAAAGAGATGGAACTGTCTTTGACCAATAGAGCACATCAAGCCACTTCATCTGCAGAGGAGAAGTAAATCCAAAATAAAATGGGCTCCGAGGAGACCACCACCTCCTGTCCAGATAGTGACCAGCCCCTTGATTCGTTTGGTACTCAGCTAGGAGATGCTCACACCAAGGATGTGTCAACGTCACCAGAAGTGACCCAAGTGTGTCCTCTGTCCAGCCAATGCCAAAGCCAGGGTAGGGGACACATTCTGAAGAGTTGAACTACATCCCTAGACAGAGAGGGCGAGGACCTCACTGGCACTGCAGTCCCAAACCCCAAACTAAAACTAAATCCAACCTTAACCCAAACCTTAACACTAAGCCTAACTCTAAACCCAGCCCTACCCTATCCATAACCCAAACCCCAACACTAACCCTAATCCTAATCCCACTCACAACTGTGAGCCCAACTTAAACCCTAACCCCATATTGCAATCACAGTCCTAACATCATTAACGTTAACCCCAACCTTAACCCCATGCCTAATTCTAAATCCAACCCTAACCCTAACCCTAATGCCAACCTTAACCCTAACCCTAACACTAACCCCTGTGCCTCTGACACCTTTTCTCCACCACATCTCTTCTTAAACTTCTTTTTTTTTTTTTAAATAGATACAGGCTCTCTCTCTGTCACCTGGAGTGCAGTGGCATGGTCACGGCTCAGCACAGCCTCGACATCCTGGGCTCAAGAGATTCTTCAGCCTCAGCCTCCCAAGTAGCTGGGACTCCAGGCATGCACCACACACCCAGCTCATTTTTCAATTTTTAGTAGAGATTGGTAGGGGTGGGGGGGATGGTTCTTGCTTATGTTGTCCAGGCTGGTCTCGAACTCCTGGGCTCAAGTGATCCTCCCACCTCAGCCTCTCCAAGTTCTGGGATTTCACGTGTGACCCCCTGCGCCCGACCTTCTTAAACTTCAGTGAGCTCAGGTCCACCTGGAGGGTCACATGGCCTCTGGGTCAGTGCTCGGCTCCACTCCCAGTTTCTGGTTCAGGAGGTTGTGGTGGAGTCCGAAAATCTACGTTTCCAGATTACATTGAGGCTGCTGATCCTGGACCCCACCAAGAATCGTGGCTCTACCCGGCCCCTCCCACTACCACATGCAAAGACACAGTCCCTCCCTCTGCACAGCCCCCCTGTGGCCTGGTACCCTCAGAGCCATCTGCACTACAGCTTTCCTCTTCTTCTCCACAGCTGCCCCAGTGTTCATTTATTTTTTAACTTTTTTAGAACCAGGGTCTTGCCCTGTCACCCAGGCTGGAGTGTAGGAACGTGATCACAGTTCTCTGCAACCTCAAGCGCCTAGCTTAAGTAGTCCTGTCTCAGTCTCCCGAGTAGGTGGGACTACAGACCACCTAATTTTTTTTTTTTAATTTTGTGGTACAGGGTTATGCTATGTTGCTCAGGCTGGTCTTGAACTCCTGGCCTCAAGCTATCCTCCTGCCTCAGCCTCCCAAAGTGCTGGGATTACGGGTGTTTCACACTGCACCCAATCCCAGTGTTCATTCAGTCACAGGGTTTCATGTTCTAGGTGACCAGAGGATTTACCAGCCCCACACCCCAACAGGATGCTCTAGGCTCCGGGGCTCACCTGCTCCGTCGTCACCCATCCTACCTGGCAACACACTGGCTGTGGATGTCCTGGCCTCCGCCATGTTGCAATGTCACCCCCCTCGCCCCCTCCCTGCCCCTGCCTGGCCCTTGGCTACATGCCCTGATGACGGGGTGTCCAGATGGGGCCCCTCCCCTCCAGGAGTGCCACAGGCAGGCGGCAGGGCAGTCGCCACTCACCGATGTAGTCAAAGCGTCCAGGGGCGAGGCGCTCGGGCAGGTGTGCGGAGTACAAGAAGGAGGCCAGCAGTGTGAGGAGCACGTGCTTCTGGTGGTATGGGGTGGCCTCGTTTTGCGCACTCTCCCCTGGGGGCAGGAGCAGCTGCAGGTGTTTAAAAAAGCATCAGGGGTCGGACACGGAGGCTCAAGTCTGTAATCCCAGCACTTTGGGAGGCCGAGGTGAGGGGATTGCCTGAGCCCGAGGGTTCGAGGCCTGCCTAGGCAACTTGGCAAGACCTCGTCTCTACAATAAACCAAAAAATTAGCTGAGTGTGGCAGCATGCACCTGTAGTTCCGGCCACTTGGAAGGCTGAGGCGGCAGGATCACCTGAGCCCAGCAGGTCGAGGCTGGGGTGGCCGTGAGCGTGCCAGTGCACTCCAGCCTGGGCAATGGAGTGAGACTCCAACTCAAAAAAAAGAAGTGTCAGGGCTGCAAGGACAGGCTGCAGGTGCCCCCGCTCCCCACATACCTGCAGCCAGGTGTGGGGGAGTTCAGACACCCACACCCCTCAGCACAAGTGTGGATACTCACCGGGCCTCACCTCCTCAGGGACCTTCGGGGATCACAGGAGCAGAATCCCTACCCAGGGTGTAAGTGAGTGAGACCACTGCACTTCAGCCCCCAGAGGCTCAGGAGAGCCACTGGGTTATTTAATTACAAAAAAAGGAAGGAGGGAGGAAGGAGAGAGAGAAGAAAAGAAAGGGGAAAGGAAGTAAGGAGGAAAGGGAGGGGAAGAAAGAAAAAGAGGAACCCTATTGATACTTCACTGCCCTTTCTGGGAGTGAAAGTAAGTACAGTCGACCCTTGAACCACGTGGTGGCTAGAGTACCCCCTAATGTCAAAAATCCACATGTAACTTCTGTACAATTTGACTTGGTCACCTTTTTGTTTGTTTTGAGTTGGGGTCTCGCTCTGTTGCCTGGAGTGGAGTGGCCCCATCAGAGCTCATCATAGCCTCCACCTCCTGGGCTCAGGCGATCCTACCACCTCAGCCTCCCGAGTAGCTGGGACTACAGGCATGTACCACCACGTTCGGCTAATTTTTTGATTTATTTATTATTATTATTATTATTTTGTAGAGACGAAGTCTCGCTATGTGGCCCAGGCTGGTCTTGAACTCCTGGGCTCAAGCAATCCTCTTGCCTGGGCCCCCCAAGGTGCACATGTCATTTTTGACTCCCAGAAGCTGAACTACAAATAGCTTCCCGTTGACTGGAAACCTTACTGAAAACAGCCAGCTCACACATATTCTGTAGGTTCCATGTATTATATGCTGTATTCTTAAAATAAAGTAAGCTACAGAAAAGAAAAGGTGATGACGAAAACCTTGAGGAGGAGGAGGAAGGGGGGGCGGTCTTGCTGTCTCGGGGGTGGAGGAAAACCCACGTGTGACTGCAGAGCAAGGTGCGCTCTGCTCACTCGAACTCACTTTCCATCAGCACACGCTGAGCGGGCGCTCCCCAGGGTGTTGGGCCCAGAAGCCCCCAGAAGCACGAGCAGCCCTTACCCTGTAGAAGATAGGGAGGGAGTCCCAGGCGTAGGGGTACGCAAAGGCCAGGACTCGCAGCACCTTGCACAGCCGGGGCTTCTGAATCTCAAGGAACCTGAATCAGGAGAGGAAGGGGACAATGAGAGTCTGTCGCAAGCGTGGGCCTGGCCGTCTGCAGGGACCCGCATTTCCACGCCACCTCCTCAGCCGGTGTGTCTCCCCCAGCTCCGATGGGAGGGACAAAGCCTCAGATGCGAAACCATCTCCAGAGAAGCTGCCTCCCAACCCTGGAGAAGCAGGGGACTCCAGACAAGCTGGAGGAGAGTAGGCTGGGGGAGCAGGGGCTTCAAGGGTCAAGTGATTTAACTGGCCCAAGGGTCTCTGAGAAGCCAGGCACCAGCAGGACTGGGAGGAGGTGGGGTGGGGGCCACTGGCATGGGCTCCCGGGGACACACTGCAAGGGGGAGTAGCACTCAGTGGTTGGAGCCACCAGGAGATCACCACACAGGAGATCAGTTTCTGGAATATTCATGACACACTCAGGGACACCAGCCTGGGAGAGTCACATCCATGTGAAGTCTTTCTTTCTCTTCTTGGTCATCCCCTGACCCGCTTCCAATCCAAAGGCAGATGGCACCAACATCAAAACCAGTGATGCTGAGGTGGGAGGATTACTTGAGGCCAGGAGTTCAACACCAGCCTGGGCAACATAGCGAGACTCCCATCTCTAAAAAAAAAAAAATTAAAAATTAATAAAACTTTGTGTGTGTGTGTGTGTGTGTGTGTGTGTCAGAGTCTCACTCTGTCACCCAGACTGGAGTGCAGTGGCACGTTCATGGCCACCACAGCCTCAACCTGCTGGGTTCAGGAGATCCTTCTGCTTCAGCCTTCTGCTGAAACCACAGGTGTGTGGCACCATGCCCAACTAATTTTTTGATTTATTGTAGATCCGAAGTCTTGTCATGTTGCCCAGGTTGGTCTCGAACCCCTGGACTCAGGCAATCCTCTCGCCTCTGCCTCCCAAAGTGCTGGGATTACAGACATGAGTCATCATGTCTGGCTATAAAAAATCATTTTTAACTAGCTGGGCGTGGTGGTGTGTGCCTGTAGTCCCAGCTACTCAGAAGGCTGAGGCGGGAGGATCACTTGAACCAGAGAATTCGAGGCTGTAGTGAACTGTGATCATGCCACTGTGCTCCAGCCTGGGCCACAGAGCAAAACTCTGTCTCTAAAATGATGGTGATGATGATAGCAATAAAAGGAGTGATGCTGACTGCTGAGATGAGAGGCTGGTCCTCCAAGAGAGGACACTGCAGGGCCTCAGCTGACTTGGCCCAGCCTGGTGGGGGGCAGTGGCTGGGGGCGGGGGGTTGGACAGCACAGATGGCAGCTGGACACGGGGAGAACCAGCTCCACACGAAACTACAGCCCTGCACGCAGGCCAGGAGAGGAGGCACGCACATTCCAGGCAGGGCTGCCAAGGTCACCTGGCGGGGTAGGTGCAGACCCAGATCCATGCTGAGCTGTACTGGAGCAGGCTGGGTTCTCCCTGGGCCCAAGGGCCACGGGGTGAGCCATCTGCACAGCGGTGTCCAGGGCCACCTGCCTCAGCCCTGGGTGGCTGTTCTGGTGCCATCTGCAGGAGCTTCACGGACACTGGGGCCCTTTCAGTGCTCTACGGACAGTCCTGCCCCGAACACGCTCTCTGGCGGGGTGGGGTCTGGTCCTGCCACCCTGCCTGTCTCTGCCCCCAGACCCTCTGCCCCAGCCCACAGGCCTGTCCCTTCTCTCTCAAGCCTCACCCGTGGCTCCCACTGGGCCTGGCCCACTTCCCCTGGCCACTTCCTCTTGTCGCTCATGACAGGAGCCCCACTGCTGCCTGTGTCCCTCAGCATGGGATACGGCAGAGACCCCCACATCCAGGCAGTCAGGACCCTCCTCAGGGCAGGTGCTAGGTCTAATCGGATCTAGAACCCCTGAGCCCAGCCCAGAATCATGTCTGAGATGTGGGCATCTTCCAGGCTGGCGCATTCTGCCCAGCATTAGGGCAGCCACACACACGGCATGTCTGTGACTCTGCTCAGGGGAAGGGACATCTCTGTGGGCCCCAAGAAGCCACAGCCTCCCAAGACAAGCTTAGCCTCAGAACAGAGACCAGGCCGCAGCCAGGGCCACGTTTCTGCCTCCTTTCTGACCTCACCCGTTAGAGAGGCTCACAGCAGGTACCAGGCATAGGAGGAGGAAAAGTCAAGGAGGAGGGAAATGGGACCTTGGTCTCACTCCCAGGCCAAGAATCACAGGCTCGGATCTACCCAGGCAGTGCGGTACCGGGATTTCGCGAGGAGAACTTGACTGGGACATGCTGGGTTCGAATCCTGCCTCAGCTCTGGTGACCATGGGACCTTGGCAGGTGACTTAGACTCTGCGTGATCCCCAGCCTCATGTGTAAGCAACCCAGGGACACTTCACTGCACATCCCTCAAGGCCTTGTGGTCAGGATTTGATGAAAAGATGCCAGCAAGGTGCACACCAGAGTGACATGTGCCAAGTGCATCTTTAGGAACATGTGTGTTGGGCTGGGCGAGGTGGCTCACACCTGTCATCCCAGTACTTTGGGAGGCTAAGGCAAGAGGATTGCCTGAGCCCAGGAGTTCAAGATCAGTATGGGCAATTTGCCAGGCATGGTGGCACGTGCCTGTGGTTCCGGCTACTTGGAAGGCTGAGGTGGAAGGCTCACCTGAGCCCAGCAGGTCAAGGCTGCAGTGGCTGTGAGTGTGCCACTGTACTCCAGCCTGGGCGACAGAGTGAGACTCCTAATTTTAAAAAAGAACACACATACACTGGGGAACTGCGTTCTCATTCTCTCCCCCTCCCCATCTTAACAGCCATGTCGGACCAGAAAACAGGACCAGAAGGGAGGAGACAGAGGTGACCGGCCTAGTCAGACGAGGCTGTGACAGGCAGAGCCAGGACTTACACCCAGACCTAGGACCTCCCCAGTGTCACCTGCACCTCCCCCGTAGGTCCCCATGCCTCAGGCCCAGCCTCAGTCTCACCCAACACCCCTCTGCCCAGGAGAGGGCACACACATCCCTGTCCCGAGAGCCAGGGCTGCCTCACCTGCCTTCTCAGCCCATTTGGCCCAGCCGTGGTGACCCACGTCTCCAGCCCTGTGCCCGGCCAGCACCTGCCATCTCTGGGGAGGAGGGGTTCCCTCTCGAGTGCATTCTGAAACCACTTACACACGGAGACGTCCGACCCCCAAAGCGTGGGTTTCCTGCAACTCGAGACAACATTTCGCCCGGCCTGATAAAGCACTTCCCGGGGGCAAATAGATCAGCCTCTCCAGGTGCAAAGCCGAGTCTACAGGAGGAAAAGGAAGAGAAAGAGCAGGACAGAGACAGCAACAGAGAAAAAGGCAGAGGGACCGGGAGGAGCCTCCCTGCAGTCCCACTTCAGGCCACAGGGTGTCGCTACAGCCAGACGGTTCATGGTTAGACGGAGTGTGGCCAGAGAACAGCGGCACCAAAGCCTCCAAAGCCTCCACCTGACCTCCCAAGCCTGGGCTGCCCGAGGCTGTTCCTGCACCCTGAGTTGAGGGGCTAGTTCTCAGGAAGCTGGGGCTCCTCTTCCCAGAACGAGGGTGGCAGGAAACACTGGATTCTGGGGGAAGCCTCCTTGAGAAAGAGTGGCCTCTGTACCAGTCTGTCCTAAGACCTGACCCATCTTCTTGTGACGTGGCTGGAAGGTCAGCCGCTGGGATGCCAGGACCAGCACTTGAACACTCTGGCTTCAGAAAACCAGTCTATTGTAGGGGCATGCCCAGGCATGCATGTGTGTGTGCACATGTGCATGTGGCTGTTTGATCATGTGGGGTCATGTCCTATTTTCGAGTACCACAGGGATGTGCACACGGCCCCATTCAGCCCTGGCCCCGGCAGCACCTGACCACCCAGCCAGCCTCTGTCTGATAACATGTCTGCCAGGCCTCACTCCTCCAGCTCTGACTCCAGACCCTTGTCCAGGCCAGCTCCGACCCCTCTGAGCTGCAGGACAACTACCAAGGTGTCCCGGGGGTGAATTACTCTCTCGCTTGCAGCTCTGTGTCCAGAACCCAACAGCTGGCTATGATGGGTGGTCAGGGACGTGTGCCGCATGGTACGTGCCGTGTAACACCCCTTCGGGAGTGGCCGCCCCTGCCTAGGCAGGCTGGGGTCTCCATCATACCCTCGTGCTCCAAGACCCTTGGGGAAGGCACAGATTCTCTGCTTTCCCCTTTCAAATGCTGCAGAATGAGGTGGCAATTTCCTGGAACATATTCGTTTGAACTAAATTCCATGATAATAACCCAGAACCACTCAGGGAACTACAGAGATCCGTGAGTGTGGGTGTGTGTCTCTGTGTGTGTGTGTGTGTGTGTGTGTGTGTATGTGTGTGTGTGTGTGTGTGTTTGAGTCAGGGCCTCACTCTGTTGCCCAGACTGGAGTGCAGTGGCACAATCATGGCTCACTGCGGCCTCGACCTACTGAACTCAAGTGATCCTCCTGCCTCAGCCTCCCAAGCAGCTGGGACGATAGTTGCGCGCCACAACATCTGGCTAATTTTTAAAATTTTTTGTAGCTACGAGGTCTCACTATGCTGCCTAGCCAGGTCTTGAACTCCTGGCCTCAAGCGATCCTCCCATCTTGGCCTCCCAAAATGCTGGGAGGACAGACATGAGCCACTGTGCCCGGCTTCTCAGTGTTGCCACTGACTTTCACCGTCTGCACCGTGGTGGAACGATGTCACTTAAACCCTGATTTACTGTGAATAGCATGTGGATGACTAACACAGGAGTAGAGTCTCCTCCAGAATTTCTAGAAAGGGGAGGGGGGCCCCTTCTGCCCCAGCCCTACCTTGGACGGAGGCCACAGGAAGCAGAGCCAGGGGCGGGGCTGGGGAAAGAGGCCAGCCACAGAGGAAGCAAGGAGAGACCGGAAGTGGGCATGCAGGAGGGAAGGAGCAAACCAGACAGAAGTAGAGGACATCTCAGGCGCACTTGCTGGAGATGTGGACGCAGAAGCCCGGCGGGGGGCAGGACATGGCCAGAGACCACACAGCAAGTCCATGGGGAACAGAGCAGGAGTCCAGGCTTCCAGATGGCTGCATCCCCCTCTCCACCGGCTTCTCCTAAAGCCACTCAGGGCCAGAGCCACTCCTGCGTGGTACTGTTCTCCCCCACCCTCTGGAATGGGAGGCAGAGAATGGAATGACAGCAGGAGAACAGGCCCGGTCAGGAGAGCCACAGACAGGATCGTGGGGTAGGGACCCGCATGAAAGGACCCCGAGGGCCTCGAGGGTCCCCCACTCTCCCTTCGGCTCTCCCTCTGTTCCAGCACGGCCCACCCCAGCCCCACTCGGCGTCATGAACACACCTGGACCCCTCGGAGCGCCAGACGGAGGCCCTGGAGTTCCCTTCCTGGGGGACTCTCCCTTCACCCTCCAGGAACGCACGCCCCCAGCACGACCCCAGCACGACCTGACCCCTCCCTGGTGCCCCCTCCATCCCCACAGGTGCACTCTGGTGTCATCACCCTGTCCAGGCTCCTCCCTCTCGTCCAGGCATGCGTCTCCCTTCCCTCAACCCAGAGTCCTAACCCCCTTCTCAGAGCCCTGAGGAACCACGCAGGAGGTGCTATGCCTTGTGGTCACGTGTTTACGCAACACTCTGCCCAGTGCTGGCTGGCCCAGGGTGTCTGTTGTCCCGGCACCAGGTGCCCAAGGGCGAGGGCATCATTTCAGGGTCCTGGCACAGGGCAGGTGTTGGAGCCATGTTGCATGGGCAGGTGGGTGGATGCACGGGTGATAGTTGGAACAGCAGCAGCCACAGACGCACTCCACACAAAAGGAGACATCGTCTATATCAAGGGAGAAGCCCAGACCTGGGCTCCTGCTAGATGCTGTCCTCCAAGCGTGCTGGGCACACTGCCTCCATGAGACGCGCCCTGTGTGCCTGAATGTCCAGGAGGACTCCTGGCTGGAAGGAAGCAATCTGCCCTGGGGGTTATGGGGGGGCTCATGGAGCTTTAGAAAAAAAAATTTTCTTTGAGTCAGGGTCTCCTTCTAGTGCCCAGGCTGGAGTGGACTGGCATGATCACAACTCACCCCAGCCTCGACCTCCTGGGCTCAGGTGATCCTCCTGCCTCAGCCTCCCACGTAGCTGGGGACTACAGGCATGTGCCACTATGCCCGGCTAATTTTTAAAAACTTTTTGTAGAGATGAGATCTCGCTGTGTTGCCCAAGCTTATTTTGAATTCCTAGGCTCAAGTGATCCTCCTGCCTCAGCTCTCAGAGTGCCAGGATGATGACATGAGCCCTCACCTGGCTTTAGAAAGAGTTTAAAAGCAGTAAATGTTCCGAGAATTTGCATTCTGAGCTCATGGGGACAAAGTCTCATTTACTCTGGAGCCTATGTCTTCCAGACTCACGAAGCCTCCTCTGCTCCCCTAAAGTGCTGTGCTCACCTCCCTCTGAGCCTGAATTCCAGACCCCAGAGCAGCTTGGCCTGGGAGGAGCCGGCAGACAGGGCCAAGTGTGTCCAGGTCTCGTGCACCCCAGTGCCATCCAGTCTCCCGGGGGGCCGCAGTTCCTAGCATTGTCATTTTCTAAGTGTGTCCCACCTCACCTCACCCTAGGACTCCTGGGAGGGAGACTGTCACTCCACAAGCAACTCTTTGCCCCAACCACCTCAGGACTGTCCATGAAAGCAGGCCGGGGCAAGCAGCCCTACACTGTTTCAGATCCTTTCATTAAAACCAAACCAGACCAGTTTGTCCGGTTTGTGAAACTTGCCTTTTCTCTCCCTCCATAAATCCCAAGTGTCACCCAGAATCGTTCTGGAGAAGTTACGGGGCATCCCCTCCACCTGTCTCCCTGAGACGGCATGAGGGGAGGTCAGTGGCCGTACAGGCCAGGGAGACTCAGACTGGCTCACAGGACTCAGTGTGGTGGGGACAGAGAACTCAGTGCTTTTCCTGACCCACATGGAAGGGCCTAGTCCAGGAGCACCCAATGCCTTGGCACAGTGTAAACAAGACTGTCACCTGACTGTCACCTGCACGATAGCTTGGGGGTTTCCTGAGTAACTTGGGGAGCCGTAGTTTCTGGGCAGTTCACTTTTTTTTTTTTGAGTTGGAGTCTCATTCTGTCACCCAGGCTGGAGTGCGTGGCCGCTCCCGGCCACCGCAGCCTCGACCTGCTGGGCTCTGGCGATCCTTCCGCCTCAGCCTTCCAAGTAGCCAGAATTTACAGGCATGCGCTACCACGCCTGGCTGATTTTTTGATTTATTGTAGAGATGAGGTCTCACTGCCCAGGCGGGTCTCGAACCCGCGGGCTCAGGCAATCCACTCACCTCAGCCTCCCAAAGGTGCAGGATTACAGGCTGAGCCACCGAGCCTGGCTTGGCAGTTCACTTTTAAACAGACTTGAACGAACTGCATAGTTACTCCTGTGACAACGTTCCTTGCACCCACACCCCAATGAGTATTCTTGAGTAAAAGGGAAACAAATAAAGACAGTGGGAATAAAAGCCAGTGAGCTGGGCGTGGCCTATGGTCAGAGAGTGCACAGGGTGTTTGAATATCACCCGTCACGTATATACCTAGAGGCAGGCCTGCTTGATTGCTGTCAGGGACGGCAGTTCACAGGGCACCTCCTCTGGGCCAGGTTTGTGCCAGGGGCCCTGGGCACATTCCCTGCAGTCCCTACATTCGTCCCGAGGTACCTGTAATGGCCCCAATTTATAGAAGAGCAAACTGAGGTCATGGAGGATACCTGACTTGCCCAGCAATGGAACCAGATACATAATTTGCAGGCCCTGGACAGAATCCAAAGGCCCCTCCTTGCTCCAGTTATTCAGAATGACTGAGAGTGCAGCAGGGAGTTAAGCCCAGCGTGAGGTGGGCACCCCCAGGCAGCCCACCAAGATCTGGGCCCACCAAGACCTGGGCACAAACCTAGGCTCCGAGCACTCGTGCAACCAAACCCACCCTTTCCGGCTCCCTCCAAGCCCTCCTGACCAGCCTGAGGTAAGAGCAGCTGGTACCTGGAGTAGCAGGAGAGGCCGGTGCTGACCATGGTGTTGAGTGCCGCCAGGGCCACGTAGCAGTCGTGGAAGGTGGTGCGCACAAGTGCGTCTGGGAACGTGTAGGCTGAGTAGGCAATGGCTGAGCCTGCAGAGAAGAGGCCCACCGTGGGAAAGAAGCCAGGCTTGGTGCTGCATGGACCACTGGCCACCCTTCTCACCCCATAGTCCTGGCTCCATGCCCTCGCCTGTGCCATCAACCCTCCCAGAAGGTCCTCCTTGTCTTTTTTTGAGTCCGGGTCTCACTCTGTTACTCAGGCTGGAGTACAGTGTGGCACAATCACGGCTCACCACAGGCTCGACCTCCTGGGTTCTGGTGATCCTCCTGCCTCAGCCTCACCAGTAGCTGGGATTTCAGGCATGTGCTACCACGCCTGGCTAATCTTTTTTTTTTTTTTTTTTGAGAGAGAGACAAGATCTCGCCATGTTGCTCAGGCTGGTCTCGAATTATTGGGCTCAAACAATCCTCCTGCCTCGGTCTCCCAAAGTGCTGGGACTCCAGGCATGAGCCACCACACCTGGCCTCCTCCCTGCCTCTCCGCCTACCAGCTCCTACCCTGAGAGTCCACCATGAACCCAGCAGTGTCCCCAGGGCTTCACGTGGATGACCACATGTGATCCTTACACCCTGGAGGCAGAGAGGGCTCACAACCCGCCCAGGCTCCTAACCTGAGACAGCAAAGCTGGGCTGCAAACCCAGGCAGCGTCACGAATGTTTTCCCACTTTAACTGTGTACCATCCCAGCGAGCTCAGTGCTGCTCAGAGCGTGCCCAAAGATGGGTCCCCTGTGGACAGATCAGTGTGGGAGGAGGGAGGTATGTCATGCCAGGGACTAGCAACGGGCCAACTGAGAGGCTGGGTTGTGTTTTGTTGCGGGTTTCAGAGTTCGTGGGAGCGGAGTTCCCTGAGGACCCTCTAGAGACCCTCATTTGGAGGAGCAGGGTAGATCCCATACTTTTCCAAGGGGCCAGATGTGCTTCACCTGAGGAGAGGGCCTTGGACCTGCACTCTCTCCCTTGGAAACTCCTGTAAGAGAGGCGTCCTGGGCCTGAGGGGTCTCGCCTAAAGTCGCTGTCATTCAAAGGCATCAAGAAGCTCAGAGTCCTAGCTCAGGGCTGAGACCCTCGGGCCTCACAGAACCATCTCTGCCTCTTACCCCATTTGACAGGGGGATCCAGCGACACTGGGCACACAGGCAGAAAGGGTCGAGGCCATGGCCTCCTGGTTCCCTGCCGCTCATGTTAGCAGGCTGCTGAGAGACGGAGAGACTTCAGCTGGGCACTGCCTCCAGGAGAAAGTCCAGCCCTTCACCTGACCTGAGCCCATGGAGGTCCCACCTGGACCAGACACATTCACTCAGTGGGTCTGCCGGGGGCCAAGATGTGTACCAAACTCTGTGGACCCGGCAAGACCCAGGGAGCCTCTGACTCTGTCTCAAATACAGGGGAAGCCACGCCAATCAGAAACTCGAGGCAGGTGCTGGAGTAAGGTGGGGCTGCAGGCGCAGCAGCTGAGCTGCAGCACAGCTAATAAGGTCACCCGGGACTCTGACAGGTGCTGAAGGCGGGGAGGGCTTTCCAGAGAGCAGGCCCAGACACAGGTCTGGTACCGGGTAAGAAAAGTGAAGAAATAATTTCTTCTTTTAGCCGCTGAAGGATTCTGTGTAAGGGATTAAGATGACCAAAGCCGGCCGGACATGGTGGCTCACACCTGTCATCCCAGCACTTTGAAAGGCCTAGATAGAAGGATTGCTTGAACCCAGGAACTTGAGATCAGCCTGAGCAACATAGCAAGATCCCATTTCTACAAAAATGGAATAATTAACCAGGACTGGTGGCACGCCTGTAGTCCCAGTTACTTGGGAGGCTGAGGTAGAATTGCTTGAACTCAGGAGGTTGAGGTTGCAGTGAGCTATGACTGGGCCACTACACTCCAGCCTGGGCAACAGAGTGAGACCCTGTCTCTGAGAAAAGAAAAAGATGACCCAAGCCTGGTGAAAGTGCACAGGATGGGACCACTGGAAACCAGAGAGGAAACTGGAGAGAATGCGACACTTGGGGGACGGGGGACTTGGACAAGGTAGAGGGGAGGAGGGAAGGGGGGTGACTGAGGAAGGCAGTGGGGGGCTCAGGGGGGGAACCGACAGGCCCTCAATGCACAGGATGCCCTTGGAGCTTGCCAGACAGCCCCACGCCAAGCACTGGGCTGTGGGCTAGAAAGCCAGCTGTGAAGGGCACAGAGCAGGGAGACCAAGGTGACAAGAGGCACTCACACGGCAGGGAGCGGTGCCAGGGACAGACAGGACGTGACTGACCACGCAGGCGCAGTCCTCACCTGGCCCCCCCATTGGGCGCATGGAGCCTGGGTCACACCCCCACACGGTGCCTGGCACCCTCACCCAGAGCTTGGGTGTGCTGATGGCACCTGCCTCAGGGGACAGCCGTCGGGGCTGGAGGGACCACGCGGGGGCGCCTGCCCTCTGCCGTGCACTAAGCTCCAGGCCCTGAGCTTCACTAAGACCCTCAGAAAATGCCTGAGGAGGACGTCACACCCATTACGTGGATGTGAGAACAGAGGCCTAGAGAGGCTGAGAAACTCACACAGAGGCTGGGGCGGCAGTTGGACCCCACATCCAGACCAGTAGGCATGGTGCAGGTTGCCCTCGGTGATAGTCGAGGTCATCTGGGGGCCACCATGCGGAAATTGCTCCAGAATGCCCACACTTATCAAAAGGAGTCTGGGGCAGGAGGTTGAGGGCAAGGAGGTCAGCAGGCTGAGGAGTCTGGGCAGGCTGCTTCCCAGCCAGCTGATGTGGGAGTGTGGGAATGGCAGCAGAGAAGGTGTAGACGCCTGGGGGCAGCTGGGTGGGGCAGAGGAGGCTGTGCAGGAGAGAGGCCCAGAGGAAAGAGAGGCTATCACATGAACCTGATGACGGAGCAGGCGTGAGGAGCATGCAGGAAGGGAGGCCGAGGGAGATTAGAGTCTTGGGCCTGGGAGAATAGAGGGTGGTGGCACCTGCCAGTGGGGGACATGCAGGGGCAGCAGGTGTGGGTGGGGTGAGAAGAAGCCCACGGTCCTGGTCTCATAGCTCCACGGCCTGGCCCAGGTGAGCGGGTTAACCTGCAGACCATGATACAGAGGGACAAAGGGGTGTCCATGGGCCTATACAGCAGAAGAAGAGGGCCCAGGACCAGTGCTGAGTCAGCCCACGAGGAGGGAGGAAGCAAAGGGAGATGATGGAGAGGGAGGGAGGGGAGATGGAGAAGAGGGGAAGATGGAGAGGGAGGGGGAGAAGACAGAGAGGAAGGAAGAGGGAGATGGAGTGAGACAGAGGGGATGATGGGGAGTGAGGGAGGGGGAGATGGAGAGGGAGGGAGGGAGATGAGAAGGGAGGGAGGGAGAGGTGGAGAGGAAGAAAGAGGGAAGGTGGAGAGGGAGGAAGTTGAGATGAACAGGGAGGGAGGGAAGATGGAGAGAGAGGGAGGACATTATGGACAAAGGCAGGAGGGCCTGAGGAGCACAGGATGATATGGAAACTTGGCAGAGAAGCCTAAAGCCGGCACCATCACTACAGTTGGGGGAGACTGGCCTTGGCAGCTGTTTTGTATGAAGGCTGGGTACTGGATGACAGAGCTCTGAGAAGGTAGGGGTGAAGTAGAAGGGAGGAGGGGGAAGAGAGGAGGGAGGGAGGGGAAGAGAGAGACTGAGATAGAGAAAGAGGGAGAGCGAGAGGAACAGAAAGTGTGCGTGTGTTTGTGTATGCATCTGTGTGTCTGTATGTGTCTGTGTGTGTGTGTCTCTTTGTGTGTGTCTGTGTTTCTGTGCACATGTGTGTTTGGAAAGAGGAGAGAGAAGGTAGATGGATGTAGCTTCTCACAGACAACCTCCTGGGCAAGGAAGATGGTGATTGTCTTCCACCTGAGCAGGACCAGGAGAAAGAGGTGAGAACTTGGATCTTTGGAGTGGATGGACAGATGAATGAATGGATGGTTGGACAGATGGACAGACAGACAGACGGACAGAAGGATGGATGGATGGATCAAGAGAGGGAGGGATGGACGGATAAATGGATGGATGAATGGACAGATGGATGGATGGACAGATGGATGCATGGATAGACAGACAGAAGGATGGATAGATGGATGGACAGACTGAAGGATGGATGGATGAATGGATGAGGGAGGGATGGATGGATGGATGGATAGACAAACAGATGGACCGATGGACAGATGGATGGATGGATAGATGGATGATGGATAGATGGACAGATGGATGAATGGAGGGAGAGGAGAAGGAGGGAGGGAAGGATGTATGGATGAATGGTTGGACGGATGAACAGATGGACGGATGGACGGATGGATGCATGGATAGACAGATGGAAGGATGGATAGATGGATGGCAGACGAATGGATGGAAGGAGGAACAGATTAACGGATGGAGGGATGGAGGGATGGATGGATGGATGGACAGATGAATGAGTGGACAGGTGGATGGATGGACAGATGAATGGATTCATGGATGGAGGGAGGAACAGATGTATGGCTGGAATGACATATGCATGGATGGATTGATGGATAAATGGACAGATGGATTGAGGGAGGACAGATGAATGAATGGATGGATGGGTGGACAGATGGGGGAATGGATGGATGGAGAAACAGATGAATGGACAGATGGATGGATGGATGGAGGGAGGGAGGGATAGATAGATGGAGGGAGGAAGAGATGGACAGATGGAATGGATGGATGGACAGATGAAGGAATGGACGGACAGATGGATGGATGGATGGATGGATGGATGGACAGATGGATAAATGGATGGATGGAGAGAGGGATGGACGGATGATGGATGGATGGATGGACAGATGGACAGACAGACGGACAGGTGGATGGATGGAGAAAGGGAGGGAAAGATGAATGGGTGGAAGGAGGGAGGGATGGATGGACAGGCAGACAGATGAACGAATGGTATGGATGGACAGATGGATGAATGGAGGGAGGAAGACATGATGGATGGGATGGATGGTTGGACAGATGGATGGATGGATGGATGGATGGATGGATGGAGAGAGGGATGGATGAATGGAGGGAGAGATGGATAGACAGACAGATGAATGGGATGGATGGACAGATGGAAGGATGGTTGGATGGATGGATGGATGGACGGACGGACGGATGGAAGGACAGATGGACAGACAGATGGATAAATTGATGGATAGAGGGATGGATGGATGGACAGACGGATGAATGGACAGACGGATTAATGGATGGAGGGAGGGAGGAACCGCCCACAAGCAGAGGGGAGAAGAGGAGGTGGGATGAGGGGCACATGTTCAAAGAAAAAGACAGGTTGGGAGCAGTGACTCATGCCTGTAATCCCAGCACTTTTGGAGGCCAAAACAGGAGGCTTGCTTGAGGCCAGGAGTTTGAGAAAAAGACAAGAGCTTGGGGACATCAACACCTGACTTCACCAACTTTGGGGCTGCCCCTCTATTCCTGGAGCAACTCACTAAGTGCTCCAGGCCTCTGGACACATGGGGCACCTGATCCAGGTTCCTTCTCTGCCAGATGTGACAGAAGCCAGCACCAATGTCCTGGAGGGGCTTAACCTGGCCTGTCAGGGCCGAGAGTTCAACCAGCCATTGTTGAATGACACCAAATGGCAAACAAATCACATACAGGAAAAATGGAATCCTCAGTGATGCCCTCTCCTGAGTCTTTAGGGTGGAATCACTAGACAACTAGGCGCTCCCAGTGTTTCTTCTCACCTCTGCATGTGGTGACGTAACACTGGGAGCTTGAAGTTGGCCTTGTGGGGGAGAATTTATGCCACAGGAATCGGCCAGTGCGGCAGATCTGGGCTGTTGTCCCAAGAGTCAGCGCTAAGTGTTCAGGGGCACATTTAGGAAACGCCAGGAACCCGGGTGGGGGCAGGGGCCTTCTGTGGCTCGTCTGCAGACCCAGCAGAGCCCCGTGGCCACGCCAGCTCGTGGGGGACAGGCACAGGGCAGGGAAGCCTTACGTGGTGACCTCAGCTCTTGGGAGACAGATGCAGGACAGGGGAAGCCTCACGTACCCAGGCTGAAGAGGTTGACGGCGCCATAGTCCAGGAAGTAGCAGATATGCCGGGCGTTTCTGGACATGGAACTGAAGGTGTGTGCGCAGCTGGACACGAGAGGGTACACGCAACTGGTGCCCATGTACACAAGCATGGGCCAGGAGTAGCTGTCGTTCTGGATGTCAGTCACACACAGTGCAGTCACAAACCTCCACACGAAGAACCTGGAATGCAAGAGTCCCTCAGCCTTCCATGGTGGGCTCACCTGACCAGCTTCTGCCTCCCATTCCCCCGGGCTCACCTGTCCCTCTGTGCTCTCACTTGGGGAAATGCCATGTGCTGGGGGGTAGGTGGAGTCCTTTTTTAATTGGAAGGCAGTAAGTTGGGAGTGGGTAGGCAGGGTGAAAAGAGGGCCTTTGGGCTGGGTGAGGTGGTTCACACCTGGAATCCCAGCACACTGGGAGACCGAAGTGGGAGGATAGCTTGAACCCAGGAGTTCAAGACCAGCCTGGGCAACACAGTGAGACTTCATCTCTACAAAAAATTAGCTGGGTGTGGCGGTGCCTGTCTGTAGTCCCAGCTACTCGAGAGGTTGAGGTGGAAAGATCACCTGAGCCCAGGACGTTGAGGCTTGGGGAGATATGATCGTGTTTCTGTGCTCTAGCCTGGGAGACAGAGTAAGGCCCAGACTCAAAAACAAACAAACAAAGAAGAGAGGCTTTGGTATATATAATCCAATCCCCAAGTCCTCAGCTTGCATGCTTCCAAAAATGGGGGACTCATCTCCTCCCAAGGCAGCTCTGAATGCTGTCAAGCTCTCCTGCACTGAGCTCGAGTCTGTCTCCTCAGTCTGACCTTCGTTCCCCCCATCAGGACCAAGGAGACAAGCCCAGCAAGTATTTTAAGGCTGTCCTCATACGCCCCACCGCTACCTCCTTGAACTCCGTCCAACCACTCCTCCCAGGATCCAGATTAGGCCTCGCCCCACCCCTGCGGTTGTGTCTGCCCCTGGTTTGTCCATGTCCCTCTTGCAGGAATGCTCCTCCGTCAGAAGCCATGCCCAGGCAGAAGCCCGGAGGCCTTCTCCTGCCTCTTCCTCACTGGCCACCCAAGGAGGCTGCAGTGGCTGTTTTTCTAGATGGCTGGCTCTCAGCCAAGCCGAGATCTCTACACATAGATAGTGCACATTCCTGCGTCAAGTCTACCTACCACCCATGTGTGGAATTCCACCGTGAGGCCCTCCCTCCCACACAGGCTTCTGAAAGCTGGTTCCTTCCCACCTGCCCTTCCAGGGGCTGAGACTCTGTGAGGCCAGTCACATAGGAACCACCCGCATGTTGCTGGACCTGCTGGCTACACCCATGGTCTCTTTCCTCCCGCCCCAGCAGAAGCCAAGCGTAAACTATTTGCTATTGCTCAGAACACATCCTCCTGCCACCCAGGTTTTCCAGTGGTCCCCTTCCTCAGGAAGTCCTGACCCAGGCTTCCCAAGCCCGTCCTACTGTGCTTCTCAGTCCACCATCCCTGAGAGCCCAGCACGGTGAAGGGGTGCCATGGGCATTGGGGATGTGGCTGGTTTGGCTCGGCTGTAAGATAGCTAAAAGTCACCCCAAAGAGATCCCTGCACGTAGCTCAGGACCCACCAGCCAGGAGAGCCAACAGCACCAATCCCAAAGCAGACTTAGTCGACCTGGTCCAGCCACGAAACGCAACACCAGGCAGCTTGCCCAAAAGCCTGGAGACTTGCAGGTGTCCACAGAGTGAGCTCTCCCAGGAGAAAAGCCAGGGGAGTGCAGGGAAAGAGGCAGCACTGGGGACACACTTGTCACTGCCAATCCTGCGTCCCCAGAAAAGCATCAGAGGATAAGGAGAAGTGGGCCTGGCTGCTCCAGGGAGGAAAAGTAGGGGCCGAGGAGAAGCCTGATGATTCCCTTCCACAGTGCTAAAATGGACACGTTTTACTTGGTTTAGGATGGCCCACGGCCCCCTTGAGCAGGACTCGGCTGTCACCTGCTCAGTCGCATGCCCCGCGTGGAGCTCTCCCGTCGCCACTGGGCTGGTTGCTGGGACCAAGCAGCCTGCCCTGTGTGTTGGCTCTGGCCAATTCCTGGTTTCCGGTCATGCTGCCCCTGACCTTGGGAGTCCGTATCCACTCTGGGAACCTCTCCTCTCCCGGTTCCTCGACAGGACTGGAGGGGCATCCAGAGACCAGCCTGTGCCACAGCTCTACTGGGTGGTGGAAGAAGTCACCCTTCCCCAGGGCCTCTACAAAGGGGGCCCAAAAACCCGCAGAATTTATTTATAAAAAAACTGTGTACTTATTCTTACGTGTTTACACTTCAGTCACCTTCAAAGTCCTCTCTGTTGGATGCAATACACCTACCAAGACAATTTTTCCACTGCTCAAAACAGTTTTTGCAGTCATCAGTTCTGATGTCTTTTAGTGCTTCTGCCATTTTTGTTTCACCTCTTCCACATCGACAAAATGTTTCCCTTTGAGGACTTTTTCACCCAGAGAGACGAAAAAAAAAGTTGCTCAGGGCAAGACCGGGTGAACAGGGAGGGCAGGGCATGGGGGTCCATGCCATTTTTGTTCAAAAACTCCTGAACACTCAGTGCGGTGTGGGCAGGTGCGCTCGTAAATCACCCATCATGAAACGGGCAAAGCCTTGAAAGAATTAAAAAAAAAAATTCACTGAAGCTGAACACCGCCTCTCACAACAAAACTAGCTGGTCCACGGATGTTGATGGGTTCCTAGAACACTTACCTAGTGAAGGGAGCCTATCCTACAAGGGGGCCCTCTCCAGAAGATAATTCTGGGTTTTGGGGCCCCCTCATATGTCAGTCAATGGTGGCCCAGTGGGACCTGGCCCTGAGGGTCTCTGAGTCCTCCCAGCTCTGCTACCATGACCATGCTTTGATCCCATCTCCACTCACCCCCGTTCAGCAAAGGTGTGCGCGTGAGGCTGTCTTCAGCCCCCGTTTCTCAGCAAGGCCCCTCCTCCCCTCCTTGCCCCCCTCCCGTGTCCTTCCCTGACCCTCCAAGCATTGCCTGACCAAATGCCTCCTGTCTCCAGGCTCCCAAAACAACAACGGAGCACCCACAGCTCTGTACCCGGCGCCGTCACCTATGTCTTCTCTCCAGACCCTCATGACACCCTGGGAGAGCTGCGGACTATCACAGCGCTTTGCAGGTGGGACAATATGAGGCTCAGAGAGGTGACATGACTCACTCAGGCCAGTGACATTTTCACCAGGGCCCGTGGAAGGCCCAGAAACCTCCAAGATGGAAGGAGGTAGAAAGAAACTTGGTCAAGTCAGGCACTGGAGCAGGCAGCGAGGGAGGACAGGCGGCTGACTGGAGTCCCCAGAGTCCTGCCACAACACAGCCCTGAAACTCACCCCGGGGCAGAGCCACCTTCTCCCCCTCAGCCACACGCTCACCTCACTCTGTGCACCCAGAGGGAGCCCGTGTCCCACACAGACCCTCACCCTCCCAACCCACACTGTGACTTAAGAAGCCCTGGTCCCAGGGTCCTGCACCAGACGGACAGGTCAAGGGGCCAGAAGGTACCAGAAGGGCAGCAGGTGAGTCCAGATGTTGAGGGTCTCATTGGTCATTTGGAAGAGGCTGAGGACACAGGCGGTGGCAGAGCTCTGGGGATGCCGGTAGCCAAAGAGGATGCCTTGTTCATGGAACACCTGCAGAGGAAACGGGGGATGCCGGGTGAGGCAGGCGGCTGATGGAGGGCTCAGGGGACATCCTGGAGGGGTCGCCCTCTCCCTGGCAGAGTGCTGTGAGCCTGGGACGCTTGCCCCAGGCCTTTGACCTTCTCCTCCCTCCTCCCCTGGATGCAGCTTCTAAAGTTTCTCATCCGCCAAGAAGTACCAGCCAGCTGGAGATGTGGCTCCCAGCTGGACTCCTCATGGGCATCCAGCCTGTCTGCGCTCCTGGACGCACTCACTCTTGGCATGAACATTGCCTAGGAATCTGTCTCCGCGCCCTCTGCCGTGGGCCTGCAGCCCGGGTTTCGGAGGCCTCCGTGCCCGGCTGACATAGATGCTGTCTGTCTGAGCTCGTGAGGGCTCATCAGGGGCTGATGGGAAGCTCTTTGCAGAAGACCCCCCCCCAGCCAGGACATATCCACTGCACTTCACAAAGGCCTTTTGATGATGAGGATGATGACGCTGGTGGCTGGGAGGGGTGGCGGCTGGCCTTAGCAGGGCCAGTCAAGCCATGCCTCCCTATGCAGCCCACCTGACTGACAAGCACCCCCAAGCACCCCAGGGTAAACGTGACTTGGTCAGGTGAAATATGGAATGTCAACAGCCTGGAGGATTGTCTTAAATCTGTTAAAAATGGTGACTGAGAAGACAAAGAGGCCAGAGAGCCAGAAGTTCAGGACGCAGCAGTAAATACAAAAGAGTGACCAAAAAATACTCCCACCATGACTGCAAAAACTCTAGAAACTGAGGCACAGGCCAGGTGTAGTGACTCATGCCTGTAATCCCAGCACTTGGGGAGGCTGAGGCGAGAGGATCACTGGAGCCCAGGAGGTCGAGACCAATCTGGGCAACATAGTAAGACCCTGTCTCTCCAAAAAAATTAAACTTAATGTAGGTGATGTTTGCCTACAGTCCCAGCTGCTTGGGAGGCTGAGACAGAAGAGCAGGCGGAGACTGCCATGAGCTATGATTGTGCCACTGCACTCCATGGTGGGCGACAGAGCAAGACACCACCCTTATAAAAAAAAAAGAAAAGGAAAAGAATTTGCATACACACAGTGGGGCAGAGACCAGGAGGAACATCGAAAAGTGAAGTGTTTCGTTTGTGAAGGGAGGAGGATTGTGGGGCGTTATTTTCCCTGTGTGCTGAGTTAGACCAAAGCGTCTCAGTCTTGACACCACTGATGCTTGGGGTCCGATAATTCTTTGTGGCGTGGGCCGGCCTCTGCGGGTGTTCCCAGCATCCCTGGTCTCTACTCACCAGATGCCAATAGCTCACACTGTCTGCACCCCTCACCAAGTTGACAACCAAAAATGTGTTTATTGCCAGATGTCTCCTGGGGGCAAAGTCTCCTCTAGTTAAGAGTCACTGATTTTGGAGGTTTTTGTTTGTTTGTTTTTAAGGGATAGAGTCTCACTCCATTGCCCAGGCTGTAGTAAAGTGGTGCATTCATAACTCATTGCATCCCCAAACTTCTGGGCGTGAGCTGTCCTCCCACCTCAGCCTCCTGAGTAGCCAGGACTATAGGTGGTATGCACCTATATCTGGCTAATTTTTTGTAGAGACAACTTCTCTCTATTGTTGCCCAGGCTGGCCTAGAACTCCTGGCCTGAAGCGATCCTCCCACCTCGACCTCCCAGAGCGATGGGATTACAAGTGGAAGCTATCACATTCAACCTAGAACTGATTTAGGTGAATGTTGTTACAACCTTTGAAAGGTAATTATAAAAGAGTAGGGTAATTGAGGAAAATAATAGCAATGACAGTATTTAACATTGTAACATATCAGGTCACAGCAAGTTGCATAGCCTCTCTTCAATGTCCTAGGGCTGGAGGGGGAAAGAGAGTTGAGAGAATTCCACTCGACCCACCCATCTCCTGTCTGGTCACCAGTGTACTTTAAGAGAGGCTCTCCACTCAAAAATACACGGCATGTGCCAGGTGTGGTGGTTCACGTCTGAGAGAGGATTGCCTGAGCCCAGGGGTTCTAGACCAGCCTGCACAACATGGCGAGACCTCATCTCTACAATAAATCAAAACATTAGCCAGGTGTGGTAGCACGTGCCTGTAGTTCCAGCTACTTGAAAGGCTGAGGTAAGAAGGACTGCCTGAGCCCAGCAGGTCGTGGCTGCGGTGGCCGTGAGCTTGCCACTGCACTCTAGCCTGGGCAACAGAGTGAGACTCCGACACAAAAATAAAAAATAAATATGACATATGGCACAGTTTGGGCCACCTCTTTACGGTCCAAGTCAAGAAGTCACAGGGGACTTCGTGGGAAAGGGGAGGGGCATCAGACTCAGGCCCCGGGGCGCCACGTGCCTCAGCGTCCTCACCTGTGAAATGGGTGGGTTCGCCAGTCGGTGGGGGGCAGTGGCTGGAGTTCGAGAGAGCACTTAGCCCAGTGCCGGGTTGGACAGGCTGGCAAGGGACAGGGAGGAAACAGAGCTGGCTCACGGTCCAGTGAGGAAACTCTGTTGGAATCAGGCTCGGGTCTTGGTCATGAAAGTGATTTGTTCCAGTTGTTGATTTGCCATTGGATTCCGCTGACATCCGGCTTAGGTGGACGGATTCCCAAACGGGCAGCAGGAATCACGACCAGCAGCCTCCCCTCCCTCCAGGGCTGGTGACACGCAGGCAGCAGGCAAGGCCAGTCATCAGCCTTTGATCCCTGTAGGGAGGACGGTGATGGAGCCTTCTAAGGCCCCAGCAGAAACCAGGGCTCCCAGAGAATGGCTGGGGCCACTTCTCTGTCTTTGAGTTCCTTTCTCTCTTCCTTTGACGATTTGTGTACATGAATTAAAGCCCAGGCCTCCTGCTACAATGCAGACTCTAGGAACAGACTCATGCCTTCATAGAGTGGGGCTGGCAGGTTCCGTAAGGCAGGAGACCTGTGACAAGCGGCCAGTGAAAGCAAAGACATCTCAGG